ATTTTCATAATAAAATATTTCATCTTTTTTATTCTTTTTTTTTAAAACTTAAAATATTTCATCTTTAGAAAGTAGAAAATTAATATCTTTTGGAATAAGCATAATATTAATAAGGGAAAATGATTACAATGCTCAAGAAAAACATTTAATAAAAACAAATTGAACTTAAACTGAAATACAATAGATGTCAAACTCAAAAGTCAAAAGTAACCATAGCGTAGAATAGGTATAAGCATTCTTCATTGATTTTATTTCATTACGTCATCAAACCAAAACATTATTATTTCCATTTTTTAGGGCAACAACCAAAGGCATTATTATGTCTCAAAAATCATGTTGGATAATCTAGATTTGTCACATAATAACGAACTTAACGACCTATCATATAACACGTACATGGAAAGAAAGAGATGAGATTAAAAGTAGAACTCTTCTTTAGCTCTTTACCAGCTCATGTTTCTATCATATTATTTTATAATATTGATAAAAAATTAATATTAAACAATAAGATGATAAAAAATTTATAAATAATTTCAATTTTTAAAAAATGTATAAAAAATTTTACTTTTGAAAGAATCCGTCGGATCATTATCATGGACATGGAAGGACACAAACTTAGAGAACAACCTTTCAAACTGTCAAAGACGTTCGCGGGGCCCATCATATCAAATCATATGACAAACCATGATGCAAGCAATCAAATACAAGTGAACACCAAAACCAAGTCATGAGTCAGTGACCTGTTTCCAACCAAAACCCATCAATCAGATGAAACCCTAATCATTGCTGATAAGATATTTTGAAAATTTCATGTAGGTTCTGCACTTCCAACACGGGATCGGATCCTCTCCATATCCCTTCCCTAGGGATCCTCATGGATCCTTCAATCACCAACGTTCAATAAAAGAGGAACGGTCAGGATTAATTTGATTTTCTTTTTCTCTTTACCAAACTACCTCTTTCTTTTTCATCGTCTTCTTCGTCCTCTTCTCAATCCTCACCTTCTTCTCTTGACCGTTTCGCAATCTCCCAAAAATTAGTTTCAATTTTATTGAAAATTTTATTGAAAATTAGTTCATGATTTCCAATAAATCGACGTTTCTTGCGTGACATCTTTCTCTCTCCGTCTTATTTTGCTTCTTAGTGTCACCTTCCCCTCGCCTCCTGCATCTTAGATTTCAAAACAATTACATTTGTTGGTCTCAAGCAGAAAAATCAATCAAGCCAACTCATTAAACACCCCAAAACCAGATCTTTACCCCCGTCCTCCATCCGTAACCCCTACTTCTTCTCTTTGCCCAACAAAAAACACCCATAAAACCCCATTTTTTTCGTATTTTCCAAACACCCTTATAACCCATGAATTAAATTTTCTAAACAACCAAGCAATTGATTGCAGGGAGGAAGAAGAAATTTGTCAGATTTTTTATTTGATGTGCAACCATGAAACGAAGGGAGGGAGGAAGATCGGAGCTCGAAGACTCGAGGAGCAGCCCCTAAAAGGGGAGCCGTAGAGACGGCGTGCTCGTCACTGCAGTGTTGAAAGAGAAGGAAGAGAGTGGACGTTTTGATGCGAAATTGGGAGAGGGGAGGGAGGAAAGAGAGACTTTTTAATGTTAAAACTATTAAAATAAAATTGATTACTAGCCGTAGGATATCATCTAGCGGCCACGAAATGATTGATCCGGAGGCTCCGTTGTGAAGGTTCTAGCGAGGACCCGAGCCCTTCAGACACTAATACCATAGTTCGAATGAAAAAAATTACCAAAGAAACTATATCGAGAATAGACTCTTCCCTATTTCATATTTTTTTACATAAGTTTTATGTCAATTTTATAAAAATTGTGCTAAAAATTATGAAATGATGGAAAGTTTATGAAGAGTTTACTTTAGAAAAGCTTCTTTAGCATTTCTTGAAAAGAAAAAAAAACATAAATACCATATATAGCTTTCCTTAATTTAAATATATAGCATATGATAAGATAGCCTTTCCTCCCCCTTCCACATAGAAAATCATTTATGTAAAGGAAAACTAGTAAAAAGTCCTTAAAAAATTATTTTTAATCATAATGACAAAATAAATGTGTAAGTGAATAGTACTAGAAATGAATTTTTAAGCTAAAAGTGTCATTAACGTTAAAAGTGAACAGTACTATAAATGTTTTATTAAGACTCCCAAATTTTCTATTTTGGATGGACCTCTAATCCAGGGGTTTTGTGGAAATAAATAAAACTTCAATGGGTATTTTTATAAATTCAAAAAAATTAGAGAATTTTGTAAAAACATGAAAAATCCTACAAGTGTTAGTGTAAATAGCTCATTATAAATCTCTTCAATTTATTGATAGTAATACTCATGACAATCCGTTCAATTTTATTTCTTGATAAACTATTGAGAGATTACATGCTACATTTTAACTTTCAAAACATCTGACCGATGATATCCTGCCATCAAGTTTTTACGGCTATTAACATCAAAAGCAAAATCCGACCAAATATTTGGTGAATGAAAACGAGTGATAGTTGAAACAGGTCCACCTATATCTTCTACGTGCTATAGTCTTTATTAAGATGGGCCGCGTCCTTTTTATTCGGTAAGGTTTATCTATTTAAATTATATTTTATAAATTATATATCGTAGTTTTTGATAATTGAATTATTACGTGAGTAGAAAATGTGTTCTAAAAAGTTGGGTACTCGTTTAGTATAAATCTAAAAAGTTGGGTACTTGTTTAGTATAGATGGATTAGACCCAAAATGGTGTTAAGAAAATGGACCAAAAAAATATATTCCATTATTATTAGTAAGGTTGAGGGGGAGGAGGATTTGAAATTGTTACATTAATTTCGGAGAGTTTCGAATAAGGACGCATGAGTAGAAACTCAACATCTTATTCACTAAAATATTGTACTACATACTCAAATGTCAAAAGCTATAACATCACATTTACCTACACATGCAGTGGTGCAAGATATATCATCGTGAACACATACGAATTTGACTTTTGACATTTAACTTTGTGCATCATAGAAAAGTTAAGTCAATTTTAAAATAATTTTTGTATCTAGTGGGTCCCACTTTTAACTGGATAATAATGCAACCAGATCCCCCGACCTAAATATACTGAGCCTGCTGAGCAAGGATCCAGCCCGTTGAAATTTGATCCAACGGTTACAATTATTATAACTTTTAGAGGGTCCTCCTGTTTGTAACCGTTAGATCAAATTTCAATGGCCCAGATCCTAGCAAGCTCAATTTTATTGGATCCGAAAAGGATCCGGTTCTGATAATAATAACCAAAATCTAACATGAACTAAATCAATTAAATATAAAGTCAAATATAAACTTTTATTCTAAATTTTTGCGTACAGCACCAATACGCATTTTCAAAATGCAAGTGATATTCATGCTTACTCAAAAGATGGGGATGAAGAAAACCTCATGCTTACATTTATACGATCAAACTTGATGACTTGTCAAATTTGCATGGGTGAGAATTTGAAGTTTTGAATCCACCACAGCCTCCTGCCATTTCTGCAATACTCACAAATATGCTACTCAAATTACATCCCAAACATTGAAAATGACTTTCTGTAATAGAATCATCATCACTGTGACATGCTAATCTAATAATACAACATCACGTTAAGTTTATTTTTCACATGACGTTACGTGATAATGAATTCGTAAAAAAAGTGTTAAGGTAAAAGAACCAGATCAATGTCCAAGTTATCAAACATGGGTTTGGATTCTTTGGAAGCTTCACGGAAGCTATGCTTTTGGTGGGAAAATAGGGGCTCAATTCAAATAATATTTCAAATTTTCTTGCACATATATGTTATATTATATATAACATGGTTTTATTTTCATGCTATGTAGTATTAAAATATTACGAGTATTGAATAATTTAAATCATTTAATGCTCGTAGCATTAAATTTTTTTTCTGTATAATGTGGCCTGTCCCCCAATAATGTTCTGAAAGCCACCTTATTTTCTTATCCCTCTGCTGCTTGCCTAGCCAAGCTAGCTATTATGAATTTAGCAACGTTTGAAAACGAGATGTTTTTGTCCACTTCTTCCATCTGCCTATATAGGCAAATACAAACAAACTAGAGAGCTGTGCTTTAGTCCCTTTTGTAATCATAGTAAATTCCTTTTTGTCCATGACATTTGATGACATGCTGGTTCAAGTTAAACTCTCACATATGTTTTTGGTAAGGCCAAATAATGAAAGATGTTTCCAATCACAATGTTCTTCGTTTGATTGATACAAGCGATACTGGTAATGAGATTCAAATAAAAAACATTAGATGTAGCAGTAATTGTTGTAAAAAAAAGGGCACCACCTTAATTAATTTCTAAACGTTTGAAAATTATAAAATAGCATCTAGATCTGGTTAGGTGCTCCGTCTAGGCACCCACCTAGTTTGCGACTCTCATTTAGACAGAAAATAGATAACTTTCGTTTGACAATTTTTTTTTTAATAAATTATAGGAGACTTGTTAAATATTTAGATGAACACATATTATGTGATTGTTCCTTATATTTTCATTATGTTCCAATACTCTATAATCTATATGTCATTCTATTTTGCAATTTATGCATGTCAATGAAGTTATGTATTTTTAGTATAATCAGACACTTATTTATATGATATGTAAAACATTTACGTAAATCCATCTAGATGCTATGCCCTAGTGTGCCGTCCAACTAGCGCCTAACGTCTTTTAGAACTTTAGTTATTACAAGTGATAATGGAAATTTGAGACTCGAACAAAAGACCTCAACTGCGAAGATAAATGTGGTAAATAATTATTGACAACTTTAGTTTTGATAAAAGCAAATAATACCTTAGATATAGTTTAAATTGATACAAGCTATACTTCAAAAGTGAGACTCAGAAACAAAACAATCCCTTTTTAACCACTTTAGCTTTTTAACAATCAGTTTTGCCACTGGAACTTCTGAGATTATTGTTTTGCAAACCAGAAACTTGGATTCTCAGAAAATAACATGTAAGCTCCTTTCATTTCATTGACTCATAACTCATAAGGCACAATTTGAAAGAAACTTGAAAATAAAAAACAAAAGAATTTACACAAGAACTCTGTGTTCTACCCTATCATTGTTGATGCTAAAGTGGAAAATAAGGCAAAAGAGAAGTTGTTCCCCTCTCTCCAATCTGTTTTTTTTTTTTTTTCCATCTGCTATGCAAAGTCATGCCTGACGTTTAACCAAAAGATAAGAGGACTTTTTTTTTTCTCGTTGCAGATTTCTCAATCATTCGAGACTTCTTCTTGGATTTGATTACATGATCGATGCATTCGAATGCCGCTGATGCTGTTTCTCGCTGCCATCATTTCGTTAAGCGAAAGCCTCTTCTTAGGCCCTGATTCCGGCCTTTGCTTTGGGGCGCTGTGGGATCTTGACTTGGCATTAAATGACTGAGTGCTTGACATGTAGTTTGGGGAGTCTGAGTAAGGCCGAAAGAAGCTGTCTCCACAAACACTTTTGGATGGTGTGCCGGGAGCATTAGAACGAAAAGAGGTGGCAAACCGCGGAGTGTTATGGGCAGTCGGGAACTTGCATTCATTACCATTGAAGTACCATTCAAAATCTTGAGGTTTCTTGCTGTCAGGTATAGAGATACGAGCTGGCATTGGACAGGGCAGCGGCGAGGAGATGGTTTGGTAAGGCAGGTCTTCACCACAATCAGATAATATGGTGTTGAACCTACGAGACCTGGATCTCGGCTTGAATGTGTCAATTTCCACAATCTTCGGGCTTTCATCAAAGCTATTAACCGAAGTTTCATAAGTTGCAGATAGCCTCCTGCTATAAAATTCACTTCTTGCATCTTCAAATCTTTCCTGTAAAATTAATGAATCAACCACATAAGTAAGAAGCAAGAAATGTAAAATGTAATCCAATGGAAGTTGGTGAAATTAAGACTTACGACAGACTTCCGGGCATTAATTTCGGGTAGGAACCTATTCTCTTTATTGAAAGAACGACGCGCACGCTGGTATCGGACATTAGTCTGTGCTCTAAAAAGAGCTTGCATACTGTAAAGAGTAGCAGCAGCCCGTTTCCGGACAAGAAAGCCTCTAACAAGAGCCTGCAACTTAACCAGTCCTTTAAGAGCACGGTGAGCCTTTCTCGCCTGAAATCAAATTCAATTCAAGATCGAACAGAACAATGCACATAAGTAATCATTTCCCAGAAAAGGCAAGAAAACAGAAATCATAACAACAAATGGGGTAAATAAGATATAAAACCAATGCCAGAAAAAGCAAGAAAACTGAAATCATCAACACAAATAGGGGAAGACATTAAAATCGTTACCCTGTTTGAAAACATGATTTCAAATTTCAAACAATTCACATTCGGAAATACACATAATGATCAAGGGGGACCAAATATCCGCCGTTCGATTGACAGAGGAAACACATTTTTGTACTGTTCCATAGGATTTGGAAGCAATTTTTGCAATCTTTTAGGAGCAGACATAAAAGTAAGACAACATCATGTAACAGTAAATCTAGCAGTTCCATGTATGAGGAAGCAGATGTTTGTAACTTTCTGGGAGCAGACACAACACTAAAAATTAAGGAAACTCCTTCCACAAAACCAACCAAAACATAAGTTCAAATTTGTTATATTTTTACGTTACCAACATTCTATAAGCAAAAGCAAACACACCAACAATCAAATTAATCACCAAATTTAATTTAATGAAGAAAATGAAAACCTAACTTACCAAATAGCCTCTGAAAACAGTTTGAATCTTCATTGCAGCCCATCTCTCTCTTTTCACAAACATGATCCCGCCACCACCGCCGCGGCCACCGCCTTGACTTGTCAACCTCACAACCGCAACAGCCGCCTGTGCTGCAACCACTGCGGCATCAGCAGCAGCTGCGGTGGCCGCAGCCACCGCAATTGCGTGCTTGTTCTGCTCCTTATCTGAGTCCGCAAGGTAGGATCTGAGCCAGGCAGAGTCAGCAGGGACAGGAACATTGGGCGGAAGATTGGTTGTTGCGTCTTTCCCTGACTTGGCGAAGCTCCACCTTTTCTTCTCCTTCCGGTCGCTGGAGACAGTGCTGGTGTTGTCGACGTGGTCTTTCTCTCTCTTCATCCCCAGCAAGCTCTTCAACCATCTTGTAGCTCTCCCCATGTTGTTTTTGCTGTCTCACTTTCTCTCTCTAGAATCTGAAGTTGGAAGCTGGAGAAAGTTAAAAGAAGGCAGGGGTTAAGTAAAGGGCGAGTCAAAAAGATCCAGATGGAGTTTATGAAGAAGCAAATACCTACAAAGCACCAAATGTAGATAGAGAAAGTGAGGAGAGAGAAACAAGTGAAAGTGAAGAATAAAAAGTCCTAGGGTGAGAGAGAGAGGGAATGTTGAGTTTAAAGAGCAAAGTGCTGAGTGTGAGCAAATGGGCTATCTCCATTTTTAGTGTCTAGAATCTGGATGAGAGAGAAAGTTGAGGAGTGAGAAAGTTCTGAAAAAAAATCCAAAAAAAAAGGTGGGTGGGTGTGAGCAAAGAGAGCAGAAAGGGTTTCTGCAAAATCTCTCAGAATCTTTACAGGTTGCAAGCAGAGAAGTGTGGAGCAAAAGATAAACAAAAAAATGGAGATAAAGATTAAAGATTGGGGTTTTTTTTTTTCAATTTTCTTTTTTAAAAATTCTGACAGGTCCTCGTGAAGAACTGTATTACAAGACAAAATCTGTCACAGAAAGACGCAGAGGTTCAAAAACCATTTTATAATTCGAAAAAACAAAGTTTTCAAAAACTAATAAACCCAAAAACTTCACCGTTCCAGGTAAACAAAACAATAATTTACAGAGCTTAAAAATATACAAACTCTCTCACACCCACCTCCTTAAATCTTTGAATTCAAAAAAAGAGCCGGATTCTACAGTCCCCCACCCACACTTTGACCTCTAACTATTCTTGGCAAAACAACTACAAAAGGCACTGCCACCGCGTCCTCCACCGCTTCACTCACTCTCTCTCTCCTCCCACCCTACTTTCTCTCTCTAAATATCTCAACTTTTAGCCACTGACAATCCCGTGAACCGCTTCGAGTTTCTTTAAAAAAGCTTCTCCCTTCTTCTCTTCCAAAACCCTTTTGGGTATTATTAAGCTTCTCTCTCTCTAAAAAGAAAAATACCCTTTTGCTATCTTCTGCAACTGCAACCCCCCAAACCTTCTACATTAAAGCCATAATCTTCTCTGATATTTCTCTCTCCTCTCTCTCTCTAAGTAGACTCAGACTGTGGAAGTACTAGAGAAGTGCAGGCATTAAGGACTACTCCAGATGAGTGAGAGAGAAAGAAGAACCCAAAAAAGCCTCAGACTACGCTTTCCTTCTTGGGTTGGAAGCGTTTCCATATCTTTTTTGTTTTCACAGTGATTCCCTCTCTCTCTCCCCCTCCCCCTCTCTCTCTCTCTCTCTCTCTCTCTCTCTCTCTCTCTCTCTCTCTCTCTCTCTAGGATTGTTTACCGAGTCTCTGGCATTCTTACTGCATCAAAATCTTTGAAACAGAGCTCTCTGGGATTTCCCAAATCAGCCTTGATCAAGCAGATATGAATCCATTTGGGGGTGCAGACATTTGCTTATTAAGAGGATAGGGAGAGGGAGGGGGAGAGAAGGGGAGGGGGCAATCTTGGGATTTGAAAATCCATAAATGCTGGGGTTTTGAATTTTTGTTTTTTTCCTGATATTTGGGATATTACCAAAGTTGGATAAATATTTAAATTTTAGAGAGAGTGATAATAATGGCAATCTACCATTGACTATTTGAAATTTGGGTTCTTTTTTTTTTTTTTTTGTTTAAAAAAAAAAAATATATATATATATATATATTTCCTTCAAAAAATTCGAATGAATGCAGATCCCTTCTTCTTCATCTCTGCAATCTGGTGTGATGAGTGGTGTCACGGAGTGTTAATTGTTTTTTGTTTTTGGTATTGTACGCTGTCACATGATGGATAAGGAACCTGAAAATAGTATGGATCTTACTTATTCTTGTTCATTGGTTTGGCTAAAATCCAGGGCATAATTAAATGCATAGCGTTCAACAGCAACATTTTAGCATTAATTCAAATTGAATTTCAACAATTTTGGCGAGATCGTAGGTTGAATTTGAAGACACTGGATTGGGTACGGACACATGTAGAATTTGAAAATAACGGATTGTGCATTCCCTCCACTTCACAAGTGTTGAATTATTCTATTGGATATGATATGATTGAATTATTGAGTTTCGGCTTCAAACTTTTTTTAATTTTTAGTTTAAATTAGACATTAGATAATTTTTGTTAGAGATAGAAGTAGAACAGGTGAAATGTATCATGTTGTTTATTTTCGTAATTGTACCGCACAAATGATGCAAAAAATGAGAGGAGAGGGATATTGGTATGAGAATTGTTATTAGCATTCTAAAAATTTCATTCTATACTCCAAATTTTCTATATTAGGAAAGAAAAATACACTTGTGAGGAGTGTAGAATGAAATTTTTGGAGTGCCAATAACACTTCCCTATTGGTATTATTACTTTCACTCTTTATCTTTTTGTGTGTTTGATTTTACTCTACATGCTTATTATATAGAGTCATTTATGTGCATAAATCTAAATTAATGCATGTTGAAAAACATGTGATACAAGTTGAAAACTATGTCATACAGCAACAGCAAAATCTGACAATACCACTATTTTAGTCCTTACTTTTTCATTTTTGGTTAAACCATGAGGGCATTTTAATTCTCACAGTTTTTACAACACTCTTTATTGAATGTCCACATAAAAACCAAAAAAGTTTAACATAATCACGACCAAATTAAGTGACTAACAATATCCATTTACGAAATCATGCCAAAAATACGAGGGGAGGGGAGTAGGAGTGACTGAATTTGCAACAAAGGGAATTGGCAGTTGCATTGTGAAGATTACAATCCTAATGGGACCGTGGAACTTTGCAAGTTGCTACAAAAGGGGGCCAAGTCTTTCCTTGTACATTTGCAGTTCCTAAATATATCGGCAGGGGGCTATTATTGTTTAGACTATCTTCAACATCTGAGTTAAAATCTAAATTTTTTAACTCAGAATATTTGGGTTTTAACTTAGAAACATATTTTCTGCTCAAACCCTTCTGGGTTAAATTTTTAGTCGGAGATCATTAAATAATGAATTTAGGATTCTAAAGTAATTTAAAAAAAAAATATGTAGACCATCCAATTTAATTTTGTGAACATTTTAACCTAAAAATGTTTAGATTCCGATAAATATTGAAAAATCACTAAACCAACACCATGAAACTAGTGGAATACTATGAAAATAAAAAAATGAAACACATGAAAGATTTTATTTTTTAAATTTTTTTAGCCTTTGGATTTAAATTTGAACTGTTAAATCTTTTTCTTTACCGTTAGATGTAATCATATTAGATCTTAGTCGTTGAATTCAATGAATTTGGAAATATAAAATTAAAAACAAATACACATTATGGTGGACCAAACCCGTGGGAATTCTATGCTAAATTTGCCCGAAAAATGAGTTTTGGGTTAAAACTCATATTTGGGCCAAGGGTTAGTGTAACAATTTGTCCCCAATTATTATGACTTTTATAATTTTAAAAAGTGAATTTACGAAAATGCCCTTTGAGTCAAAGTGTTGACTTTTGTTGACTGCTGTGTCGTGTCACGTAAGGTTCATTTTCTTGGTGTATCCTCATAGTATTCGTCTCTACGAACTCGTGGGTGCAAACGGATCGTGATTTGGAGTTATAACGAAGAAGATATTAACATTTAAAATCGAGGGCAAAATTGTGAATTTATTTATTTCTAAAATGCTCCAGATTTTTTGAGCAAAATCTGGTGGCCCAAATTAAAAGAAAGAAAGATGGGCGATGGTTATGAATTATGAAGGAGAGAAATGAGGGGGATGTGATGCCAATCGGAAGAGGAGAAAGAACTGAGGTGGCCAATCAGGAAAGAAAGAAATGAGGGAAAGGAGGGAAGGAGAGAAGGAGAGGAACCGACGGGTTCCCATTTGACCCGTGACCCAGGTTGTAACCGGTGGGTTCTCTGGTAAATTTCACCATTTACCTAATGAAATGGGCCGATTCATCATTTCCAATCATCAATTCTACTCCTCCTCTACCATTTCCACTTCAAATTTAAGAGGATTGGGTTTGGAATTAAGGGGTTTTGCACCGGTGGGTGCGACGACTACCGGGTGGCGATCCACCAAATCCGAAGGTACTTTAGTCAACCACCACCATCAATAGACTTCCCTTGAGGCCTGGAACAAAGCCTATGCATTGGTTGAGGTGTCAGAGTTGTTTTGGGAGTCGAATCAAGAACACCAAATTTAAGGGTTTTCGGCGGGTTTTCATGAAATTGAGGCTTTTTCCGGCCAAATTGGCATTAGTCATAGGTATGAAAGTTGCTCCACTCATTGAGATTTTCATTTCTATAAAGTTTGAGAATTTTTAGAAATAGTTGAATTTTCCGGAGAGTCGGGATGGCCGACTGCCACTTGTGGCGGCGCGTGGGCCGAAACATCCCCTGACCTTCCTAGGCTAAATTTGAATACCCTAATTCCATTGGTGAAGTCTGATTGACGAATTTCCATCATTTGAACGTAGTTTCATTAAGGTCCACCACTTGATTATTATAGCAACCGATGATCCGACCGTTGGATTGTCACCAAACTTTGATACGTTATAATATGTAATATTTGAGGATGTTAGAAACTTACGGATCAGAAATCCGATGTACTTATCTTCCCAAATAGGATATGTAAGTTATATGTTATATTGATAAGAATTCTAGGATATGATTTGATAATTGTTCTAGGCGCCGATCATTTGTGACGCCTTGAAATTGTGCTAGGGAGTTGTAGCGTGGACTCTAGATGAGTTGGCTTGTGGTTTTCTATATATATGTATATATATGTTTTCCATTTTTCCTAGAAATTGTTTTAAATGGATTTACATTTTAAGTGCCATGCCATGCTTGCATTTCATTTTAGTATATGCATTAGTATAAATATACATATTATTGCATGACCCTACGGATGCCCAGGTAAGCTTCAGATGAGTGCATATTGATGATAGTAATTGCAGTGTGGTTATGTTTAGATGCATTTAGTGCTCATTATCCTGCACCTCGGTGTTAGTACTTCTGCCCGTGGCCAGGGCACAGTCCTTCATGTGAATTTCACCTCCCGCACCGCACGCTTACCTTGCATCCAAGTTTGGTGCGTTGCCCTGTTGTACAGACTACATTAGGTGATTCCGACTCATAGGTGACCTGCGATTATTGGCACAGCCTTCACGTGATCGTAGCACTTGAACGTACTTATTTACACCCAGCCCTGTCGTACAGATCATAATAGGTGGTTCCGACTCGTGTGCAGGTATATTTAATGAGCTTTAGGTTCAGTCGTATAGGTTACGTTAGGTGACTCCGGCTGGCATATCATTTTACATTGATTTATTTCATCTGGCTTACTTATTTTATTGCAGAGATACTTGACATGGCATATACTCGGTTTTCACTACTCTTGAGCATGACTTCTATATACTCACCCTTTTTTTTGCGCCTCTCCAGGTTTTAGCTATTGAAAGTTCATATCGACGAGGATTTGTGGCGAATCTCAGTATAGGTGGCTACCTCTGAGGGTATGATCCTTACCCACACTAATGTACTTTACTTATGCTCTAACATCTCGTGTGAAATGGGTTCATTCTCACTCACAGCGCATTCTTGTCTTTAGGCACTTTTAGGTTTAAATTTATTCACATTTTCCACATCATTATACTTTATGACTTTGTCACCTTCCAAGTGTCGCCCATCACAACTTGATTCGGAGTCTTAGTGGACATTCCAGGTCAAAGTGTGTGAGTTAGAGCAAGTTGGATAGTTTTAGAACCTAAAATTTGAGTTTTACTCCAAAAGTTAGAGTTGGTCTTATAAAGTAGAATTTTTTTTCCCTCCTAATTTCTCTTTCTTTATTTCGCTTCTATTTAGGTTACAATTAAGTCATACTAACATCTTGTTTTGAATTTTTATATTAAAAAAATGGGTGAAACTATGTTTACTTCGTGGTTTTCAACATTTGGTACATCAAGTTTTTTTCATCCCAGAGTCATACCTAAAGTGTAAATTTTGGGACAGTCTAATACATCTGTTGGTCAAACTATTAAGTTTTCAGTTAACTGATGACGTGGCGCCCACGTGGACACTAACTGGACGCCAAGTGTCATTAAAAAAAATTAAAAAATTAAAAATATTAAAAAAAAAACACACACACTTAAAATATTAAAAACACACTTAAAAAAAAGCACACTTAAAATATTAAAATATTAAAAGAACTGAATATGGGAAGAAGGAAACCAGAAGAAGAAGAAGAAGAAGAAGAAGAAGACCAAACAAATCTGGGAAGAAGAAGA